TCCCCAATTCTTGGCTTTCCAAATGGAGTATCATTTTATAGCCTAGACTGGCCTTGAACTCCTACCCTCCCCCCATGGTAGCCTTTAGAATGCTGAGATTATAGCCATGCACCACCACACCCAAGCAGAATACTGTTTCATGTTTAGAGCAACTTGCAATGTATAAATCAACTATTTGAAAACCTTGAACAGTTGTTATTTATGCTTTATCAGGTGTCTGTGCCCTCAGTTTGTGCAGTTACAGATATATATCATACACATACAACACATACATACAGGTCCAGAAAGGGTCTGATGGCGGGGGAGGGGGGTTCCCTCTGGAGTTCAACATCTACAATGTGACAACAGGAGTAGAATTGTCTGTTAAATATGATACATCAGGGCCCTGACTAAGATGCATCAGAGTGCATTAAAGAGGAGCTTCCATCATCATCAGGTTCGTCCCTTTCAAAACGAGTCAGGTATGGGGAGTAGGAAAGGTTTGACGCTTAGGCATGATGATTGATCTCAGATACCCAGTACCCACATAGAAGCTCCCAGTGTTTGGAGGGTAAGGAGCAGAGACAAGTGGGGTCTCTGGAGCTAATTGGCCAGTCATTCTAGCCAAACTAGGGAGCTCCAGGTAAGATCAAGCCTTTATCTCTAACAATAAGATGGAGAGTAATAGACAAAGACACCCTGCCAGCATATACTTGCAGCCATGCACACCCACAAATACACTACACACAACAACAACAACAACAACAGTCATATTTAAAATGAATGAACTACAAGACTCCAATAAGAAACCATCCTGAGTGAGGTAACTCAGTCACAAAAGGACAAACATGTACTCACTCATATATGGATTTTAGACATAGAGCAAAGCATTACCAGGCTACAATCCACACTCCAGAGAATCTGGGAAACAAGGAGGACCCTAAGAGAGACATACATGGTCCCCCGAAGAAGGGGAAAGGGACAAGATGTCCTGAGCAAATTGGGAGCATGGGGGAGGGGAGAGGGAGTTAGGAGAAAGAGAAGGGGAGAAAAGGAGGGTAGAGGAGGACATAAGGGAACAGGGAGATGGAGTCAGGGGAAGAATAGAAGAGAGCAAGAAAAGAGATACCATAATAGAGGGAGCTGTTATAGGTTTAAAGATAAATCTGGCACTAGAGAAATATTCAGAGATCTACAAGGATGATACCAACTAACATCTAAGCAATAGTGGAGAGGCTACCTTAAATACCCTTCCCCAATAATGAGATTGATGAATGCCTTATATGCCATCCTAGAGCCTTTATCCAGTAGCTGATGGAAGCAGAAGCAGGTACCCACAGCTAAACACTGAGCTGAACTCCTGGAATCCAGTTACAGAGAAGAGTGATGAGCAAAGGGGTCAAGACCAGGCTGGAAAAACCCACAGAAACAGCTGACCTGAACAAAGGAGAGCTCATGGACCCCAGACTGATAGCTTGGGAACCAGCAAAGGACTGAACTAGATCCCATAAATGTGGGTATCAGTTAGGAGGCCTGGGCAATCTATGGGGCCTCTGGCAGTGGATCAGTATTTATCCCTAGTATATGAATGGACTTTGGTAGCCCATTCCACAAAGAGGGATACTTTCTCAGCCTAGACACATGGAAGAAGGTCTAGGCCCTGATACAAATGCTATGACAGACTTTGAAGATCCCCCATGGAAAGCCTCACCCTCCCTAGGGAGAAGAAAGGGGATGGGATAGGGGGCTGGTAAGGGACAGGGTAGGAGAGGAGGAAGAGGGAACTGGGATTGCCATGTAAAACAAGCTTGTTTCTAACTTGAATTTTTTTAAAAAGGAAAAAATAGTGGTGAAGGAAGCTCCCTGGGGCTATTGATCAGTAATTCTTGGTTAATTCCAGTGAGCCCCATCTCCAAACTTCCTAGAAGGTGCCCTGTAGCAAAGATAAAATAGTGAAGTACCAACAGTGAACTGTGAGCTTTAAATGCTGGCTGAACTCGGGAGCTATATAATTCTTGTTCTCTCAAATAAATCCACTGTCATTTCCATCATCTTTTCCATGCCTATAGGCTTTTATTCTGTGTTGAAACTGTTGAGAAAAGAAGACTAAAATCAGGTCAAGAGGCCAGCCATGACTGATATGAGGAAAGGAGCAGGGGTGGATAGGTAGGCCCAATGCCTTTCAGCTCTGGGAGCACAACACAGAATCACAGAGAGTAAAGGCTGATTCCTCTCAACGAACTGCATCTTTTCTCAAATTAGAACATTCTGTTGCTAGCTGCCTGGTTTGTTTCTTAAAAAGGGGGGGGTATTCTGGTTTATAATAGTACTATGTACAGAAGTGGTACACCGGCATGGTTTTCAGAATCACAACTTAGCTCTATAGAGAGAAGAAAATGCAGAGAAGGGGGAAGCTAGCCAATGGGAAGAGGAGCTAAAGATTAAAGACCTGGATATGGACTCAACGTGTGCTATTTCTTTTTTTGTTTGTTTGTTTTTATTTGTCTTTTGTTTTTCAAGACAGGGTCTCTCTGTATAGCCCTGGTTGTCCCAGAACTCACTCTGTAGACCAGGTAGGCCTGGAACTCAGAGATCTGCCTGCCTCTGATTCCCAAGTGCTTGTGTTAAAGATGTGCACTGCCGCCACCACCCAGCAATACATGCGACTTCTAAATGTCACCACGCATTTTGAAATTTCCAAGAACTAAGGGCAAGGTAGGCACTCAGAGAACCAGTTGCTTGAAGGAACCTTAAAATTATTTTTATAACCATCAATTCTTTAGACATAAGAGAGCTATAAGAAAATCCATCCACGGCCATTGGATACTGAATAAATAAAAACTGGAATCTGAGTTGGGTTTCAAACTGTATTCCTTGGAGCCATAAGGTTCCCTGATGATGGAACAATGCTTCCTGGACATTCCATGGGGTCTTTAGAGCATTACAGTACTGGACATTCCATGGGGTCTCTATAGGATACAGTACTGGACATTCCATGAGGTCTATGGAGGATACAGTACTGGACATTCCATGGGGGTCTATGGAGGATACAGTACTGGACATTCCATATGTTTTCTAGGGCCTTGAAGTACTAGACAGTCTGTGGATTCTCTAGAGCACCGCAATACTGGACGTTCTGTAGGATTTCTAGGGCATCATAGCACCAAATGTTCCATTTCTAGAGCATCAGAGTATTATGAATGCTAAGATCACACTGCCTTGCCTTCTCTTTGTCCATCTACAAGTTCTGCTTTGCATGTGGCATGAGTCTGAGAATGTGAGTGAATTTTTTTGAGGCAGGATCTCACTGCATCACCCTGACTGGTCTTGAACTCTCTATGTAGACTAGGATGGCCTTGATCTTATAGAGATCTGCTTGCCTCTGCCTCCTGAGTGCTTGGATTAAAGGGTAAGTGATATTTTTAACAAGATTTCCATTGTTAAGAAGAGTAGGAAATCTTACATTTAGGTATACTAGAAACTGTAATCACATGGCAGAGTTATCTATTAAGTGTATTTATGAACTCAACACTAAGTAATACTTTCAAAGTTTTTAAATCTTTGCTGTGACATAAGGAGAAAGAAATGATTTAGGAGTGGGAGTCAGGAACCTGCCCTCTAGATTCAGAAGCTACACTGGCATTGTGGATAGATCATCCAGCCTAATGCCTAGATCAGTGTGGTGATATACTGTTCATGATCTAATAAAGCTTGCCTGCAGATCAGAATGCAAAGCTAGACACAGCCAAAGAAGCAAGGCAGTGGTAGCACACACCTTTAGTCCCAGCACTCAGGAGACAGAGGCAGATGGATCTCTGTGAGTTCAAGGCCACGCTGAGCTACAGGAGAGTGAATCAGTTTAAAAGAGAAACAGAACTTATGCTTTTAATCCTAGCACTAGAGAGACTATAAGAAGCTCAGTGCAGTCTCAGGAGCAGTCTGAGATTTGGTGAGGAGCTGTGCAGTCTGGAGATGCAATCTGAGGTTCGGTGGATCCACCCTTTGGTAGAGGTGGGAGCTCTCTGGTGGCTTGGCCACTTGGTTTCTCTGATCTTCACCTTGAACCCCAATATGAAACCACACTGCCCACACTCGGGTAAGTTTTCTCATCCCACTTAAGCTTCTCTGGAAGAGTGACCAGGGACATGGCCAAACCTGTCTCCTAGGTGACTCTAGATCCCATTAAGTTGACAGACCAGACTAACCATTACACTCATGTCTTTTACAGAGCACATTTTAGAGAATGAATGATAATTTAATCAAACAAACTTTAAATTCCCCAGAAGTCAACCTAAGAGACATTATTTGCAATGATAAAATAGAATTACAAAAATAAGATTGCTCACATTAATCTGGGTCATATTGATTGCACTCAGAACATTTGCAAAAACATAAAATGTGCATTGTGATATTGAAACTGTCATGGTACAAAATTTAAGTTTATGGTCATAGCTACGTAAGACTTAAAAATTACTCATGGGAAAAAATAATGGGAAGAAATATGTAAAATGTTAGTACTTTTAGCGAAAAACACTACTAGTAATTTTTCTTCCTTCAAATCACAGACTGAATTTTCTCTGTGAGCATGTCTTCTAATATTAAATTTTTAAGTAATAAGGGATAAAGCAATCATTAATTTTCATAAGACTACTTTCACAAAAAAAAAAACCCACCAACTGATTAAAGTTAAGCTAGCATAAATTTATAATGCTGATGCCCTAGAGGGTGGAAACTGAGGTCAAGGCACCTGGCCTGCTGAGAAGTCCCTCCTTGGCTCTTGCAGCTCCTGGTGGCTGCTGGCAGTCTTCCCTTTCCTTGGCTCACAACTGACTCCTCTGTCTGTCCTTGCTATCAGATGGCATCCTTCCTGTGAAGGTCTTCACACTGAGTCATCCTTTGAGGACACCAGGCATACTGGGTTAAGGGCCCACCCTGCTACTCTGGTGTGACCCTATCTTAACTAATGTAATTACAAGTACCCTGTTTTCATGGAGAGTCACATTCTGAGATACTGGGGTTAGAACTCTGGTGAAATGTGAAATGTCCCCCAAAGGGAGTGGCACTATTAGGAGGTGTGGTTTTGTTGGAGTAGGTGTGACCTTGCTGGATGAAGTGTGTCACTGGGGGGTGGGCTCTGAGTACTCCCAGTGTCATAGTCAACTTCCTGTTGCCTTCTAATCAAGATGTAGCCAGCACCAATTCTGCCTGCCTGCCGCCATGCTCCCCACCATGATGATAATGGACTGAACCTCTGAAACTGTAAGCGAGCCACCCCAATTAAATGTTTTCCCTGTAAGACTTGCAGTGGTCATGGTGTCTCTTCACAGCAATAGAAACTCTTAACTAAGACAGCCTTCCATATGTCTTTTTGGAGGCAGTAGAAAAGACGCTATTCATCTCGTGAGAGTAATTTACCATTTTGATGTTTCTTTCAATAGTTACACGTCTTCTTTCCTTCCTTTCTCTCTCTCTCTTTCTTCCTTTCTTTCTTCACTTATTTATTTATTATAACCTGGTTTGGCTTGGAACAATCTGTGCGGACCAGATTTGCCTTAAATTCAAAGCTACCCATTATTCTTTCTTATTGGAATGTGGTGGTTTCCATGCTTTAGCCACACGGGTGATAGTTTAGGTACATTTTCCCCATGATTCACCTAATTTTCTCCCTTGCATCTTCCTCACTATCTATTCTAGCATGTATTTGTAATTAGTCACGTGTTGTGTTAATCTAACAAAAATTTTAGTTTATGTGTGTGGGTGGTTTGCCTTGATGTATCTCTGTGAATCATATGTGCTTGCATTGGCTAAAAGAGACATCAAATTCCCTGGAAGTACAGTGACAGACGATTTTGAGCACCACATGGGTGCTGGGAATTGAACCTGGGTCCTTTGCAAGAGCAGCCGGTGCTCTTCACCACTGAACCATCTCTCCAGTCCAATCTATCAAAATCTAAAACTCTACCCAGAAGCTGTGAGTTTCTCATTTACACTGTGATTTTCAAATACAGTCACTTTTTAAAACAAATACGTACAATTTGCAAGTCACTACAAAGAATATCCTTAGAATAGCATTATATATAAATAAAAAAAAATCAGGCCATCTGACAAACATACGAGGTGAGAGAGAAGAGACTATTAAGGAAAAAGAAGAAAGCCCACTAAGGTTAAAATAGCTCTAAATAGAAATTGAATTAGCCAAAATGGATATTGTTTCACATTGAGTAATCTCTTGTTCTGCTGGGATATTTGCAAACTAGCTAATGTTTCAAGATAATGTCTTCCTGGCTTTGAACTATTTATTTTGTGATTTTTTTCTGATAGCAGAGTTAGAAATTTCTGCAAGCTTAATACTGAGACAAAGGTATTTATTTAATATTTGGGGAGAATGATGTCTTTTGTCAAATTTGAAAGAATTACTTGACAGAATTATAAATAAGGAGTTATAGTGTGGCATGGACAAAGCAAGCATAGCTTTCTTTATACACCCTGATATGACTATATTGATGCTGCATGCCTTTGCAAGCAAAAATATTTATTTGTCTTGTAGCATGCACACATTTATTTTAATGAGGATGTCAATGACGTCATCAGATTGGAGTGTGTATTACATTGTGCGTTTATTCTTTTTTATTTTTCATGTTCTTACTGAGAGTGCTTTGTTTATGTCAAAAGGCCTAAGGAAATTAAATTCAAAGCTAAGCTGGTACCACAAAACTTGACTGTGTGAAGTCAGGAAATTAGAAAGTGACACTCGACTACTCTGAATATCATGTGTCAGAAGATTTGAAGTGGGTCCAGTTTTCCCCCCACAGAAATGTTGTTGAGACACAAAAGTACCTCTTCTCTCCTCTTCAATACACAATGGTGGTGCTGACCCCCAGCTCTGGGTTTCCTGGGTGATTCACCACCTCTCCCCTTATCAATTCTTCATGTCTCTCCTACAAGAATGCCTGAAATTAGTCAGTCAGTTATGTGAGTGGACTCGACCAACTGCAGTTGGATAATATTTGAAAAGGCCCAATAATATGAGCATGTATAGACTCCATCACCATTCCCTAAACAAGATAACATACCACCCATTTCCAAATTGTTGACATCATGTTGGGTACTTGAAGTAATCTAGAGATCATTTAAAGAAAGTTGTGTATAGGTTCTATACAGAGTCTGAAGTTGTTATCTAGGGGACTCAAGCCTGCATGGATCTGGGTTGGTGGTGGGTGGAAGTGCTGGGGGATGAGTAATCCCTAGTAGATACCAAGAATCACTGTAAATTAAGGAACCACCTGTGCTGACATAACAGAGGTAGTCAGCAGCAGAGCATGGTAGCTGTGCCTATTTAGCACGTGTTTACCATCTGTTGGGCACTGCCCCCTGAACTTCACTTGCACTGCTTTACCAAATCCTTACATGCTGTGTAATAAACACTTCTGTCATAACTATTTAATGGTGAAGGAAACGTAGAGACATTAAGTCACATGGCTTTGATTGCGCCTTCAGAAGGTAGCAGTTGCGGGACTGGAGACCAGATCCATCTGGCAGCCTATGCCTTTATTTTTAATCAATTTTGCATTAGAAGACAACTTTCAGGAGTTGGTTCTCTCCTTCCACCTGTAGGTTCCTGAGATTGAATTTAGGTCATCAGGTCTTGTGGCATGTGCCATCATCTACTGAATCCTCACACTGACCCCAAACCCATGCTCTAGATTATAGCATTTTAGGTGACTTATGAATTTTAACCTAACCTTGATAAAAGATCTAATTTATTAACATGAAAAAAGACTTTTTAAAAATTACTTTGAAAAAATAAAAATTACTTTGATTATATAGTAATATATTTGTTTAATAAAGTATAGAAAGTATTTAAAAATTAAAAAGTATTTACAATAATCTTTATCAATAATCAGTAACACTATATTGACTTCTCTACTTCCCCCAAGTATGCTGGTTTACTTATTTATCTACTTATATGTAAATGTGTTCAAAATTGTACTATTTGTTGGTATGCTTCTTTTCACTTCATTTATTTTTAACATTCTCAACACTGAATATTTTTACAAGCTAATTTTTAATAGATTGTTTGACTTATAATGTAATTTATTTTCCCCATCCTATTTTGTTAGTTTATTTCAAATCCCTTAGGATCTGAGTACCATACACACTAACATGGATGTCCTCCCTTATCCTTTATTTCTCTTTCTATGGTGACAGTTACTCAGAGTCAGCCACGGTCCAAAAATATTCAATGGAAAATTCCATTGAGCAATTGGCAAATTTGATGCTGTGAAGTGACAAAAATCTTGTAATGGCTTATTTTGTTCCACTTGGGGCATGAAGGAATTGTCTCTATTCATGCTCCATACATTTAGATCACACACACACACACACACACACACACACACACACACACACACACACTCATTCAGTTAAGCATTTAGTGTAGGAAAAAAGTACAGTATGCATATAGTTCATCTCTGGTACGCACTGTGAGTCTTGGGATGTGTTCCTTGCATATATAGAGAGGGCTACTCAATTTCGTAAGAGAAATTCTTGAAATAGAATTGCAAATCAAAGTTTATGAACACGTACATGATTCTTGGTATATCTTGTCAAACTCCATCCAAAAATGTTAGGGTGAAACTGAACGGTGAGGCATGTACACTCTGCTGCAAGCTCTGGAGAGAGATAGGGGCATGGAGAGCACTCATCAGATTTCTCACTTCTTTCTAGCATCTGATGTCTACCTGTGGGTGCAGGGGGAGGCGATTGTCATAATATCACTTTCCCCTGTGCAAAGGAGCTGGCATCAGTCATGTGCCACTGTCTTTGTTTTACTTTTTGTTCTTATTTATTTGTTTATTTGTTTTGTTTTGTCTGGTGTGTGTGTGTGTGTGTGTGTGTGTGTGTGTGTGTGTGTTTTGAGACAGACTCTTACTCTGTAGCCCTGGATGGCCCTGAACTCACTCTGAAGACCAGGCTGGGTTTGGACTTTGCTACAGTCCTCTGGCTTTGCCTCCAAAGTGTTAGGATTTCAAGAGAGTTACTGTCTGTGCTCTGTGTCCCACTATCTAAGAGTCTCTCCCTCAGAGGCGCTCCCACTCTTCCACAGGTGGAACTACCCACCGTCATAACACAGACCCCCTCAAACCTGCTGAACAAGTTGTCATTAGTTTTCCACATTTGCTGAATTCCAGCCACATAATAGATACTGTCTTACACACAGCTGGTCCCGAGCCTCTGGCTTTGCAGTCTTGAGAAGCAGGCAAGCCAGGCAGAAGTGAGAATGAGGGGAATGTACTCCGCTGAAACCGGGGCTGGAAAGGGGCACTTGTGGTAATTGCCATGTCTGGTTACACATTCTCGACAACTATTTAGAGCCCTGAATGACTGTGCAAAGACAATGCCTGGTTTGTTGGCCTGAACAAAGGCAAACAAAGCTCACCCTCTGGCATGATTCTGTGCGCCATTTTGTGGTGTTGAAATAAGAAAGGAAGGGAGCGTGGCATGTGGCCCGCACTTCTTTCACTGAATGAAGGTGGAGAGAAATGACATCGAGGGCGTTCCCAGGCTTGCCTGTGCATTTCAGGTGGTTCAATACCCTACAGACTTACATTTTACCAAATTCCTACTTTTCTTTCACAATACCAGAGTAGGGCAGAAGTAAGAAACTGAGACAGTTTGTAAAAGTGTTTTGTAGCTGTAGTCTCTGAGGATGACTTGGCTGCTATTGGGGTTGTGACATTTTATTCATCGGAAGTGACCAGGGTCATCATCCCTGCCCTGGAGAGGACAGCATATGAATCTCCAAAACTGACTCAGACTGGAAGTGATTAAATGGTGGTAAACAGGGTGCAGTGGTTTGAATAAGAATGGCCCATGGACTCATATATTTAAATATTTGCTTCCCAGTTGGTGAACTGTTTAGGAAGGATTGGAGTTATGGCCTTGTTGGAGGACATATAGCCTTGGAAGTGGTATGTCACTCGGGTGGGATTTTGAGACTTTAAAAGCCCACATAGGCCCAGTCATTCTCGTTCTCTCCTCTCTCTCTCTCTCTCTCTCTCTCTCTCTCTCTCTCTCTGTGTGTGTGTGTGTGTGTGTGTGTGTATGTGTGTGTGTGTGTGTGTCTGTGTGTGTGACTTGCAGATCATATGTGAACTCTCAGCTACTGCTGCAGCACCATGAAGTCTGCCTGCTCCATTCTCCCCACCATAATGGTCATGAATTAACCTTCTGAAACTGTAATCGAGCCCCCAATTAAA